GGTACGCCTTAGGCTTTACATAAGGACAAGAAATTATAGTTTGTGAAATGTAGACGGTAGTGACAGCTTACACAACTGCTTTAATAGATTTTTAAATTCAAAATTGAATTAGAGAAAGAGTGAGCGTAAAGGGACAAAGTATTAGGTTGACTAAGAAGTAATTTTGGTCGATTCAAGGTTTTTAGAAATGTCACAGATAGATTTGTGCGTAAGTCTATGGTACCATTCGAAAAAGTAAATTAAGGAGAACCGGGTGGTTAACTTTGTCTGTTCAAAGAATATTATAGCGGAATAGCTGGCTTACCCGGCTCCGCCGTATCCGGACCAAACTTGGCACACATAACTTCGGGCCCCGGCGGGTGTCACAGTCCACTTTTCGTTATCGATCGATGTCGATTTTGCCGATTTTTATTGATTTTTCTGCAGAGTTCACCTACAGGGCTAGGAGTTGGCACAGGGGGGGGGGGAAGTGAGCATGGGGATTCCGAATACAATATTAGTTTTCAGAATTATCGATTACTTTTATTGATTTTATCGATTTTTTGCAAAGTTTGACCTGCGGGGCTGGGATTTTGCACAGGAGGGTAATCGAGCATGCTGATTACGAACACAATATTAGTTTTCAAGATCGTCCATTACTTTTATCGATTTTATCGATTTTTTGAAAATTTGAGCTAGGGGGCTGGAATTTGGCACAGGGGTGTAATCGAGCATGCTGATCACCCCCCTTGGGGATGATCAGCATGCTCGATTACCCCCCTGTGCCAACTCCCAGCCCCCTAGCTCAAACTTTGCAAAAAAATCGATAAAATCGATAAAAGTAATCGATAATCCCGGAAACCAATATTGTATTCGGAATCCCCATGCTCGATTACCCCCCTGTGCGAACTCCCAGCCCCGTAGCTCAAACTTTGCAAAAAAATCGATAAAATCGATAAAATCGATATCGATCGATGACGAAAAGTAGCCTATGACACCCGCCGGGGCCCGAAGTGTATGTGTGCCAAGTTTGGTCCGGATCGGTTCAGAAATGGAATTTTCTATTCGGAACATACGTACATACATACATACAGACAGACAGACAGACAGACATACAGACAAACAGACATTCAGCTTTATATATAAGATGGTGTAGGAAAGCAAGAAAGTCGGGGGTTTCCTTCAACTTCCAAAAAGTCCTGCTCCAAAAAACAAACTGACATTAGTGGTGAAGTGTATGAATGTTACGCACACTTACGATTTTTACATATTCCACCATGGTCAAATTCAAGAGATTCGAATTGCCGCAAAACTTACTTCCATGCGCAGATACTTGGAAATTTTCACAGTTCTGGCTGCAGAAATGCACAAACAACAGATCCTAGCTCCCATTGTAGTTTGCCATGTAGCCAAAGTTTGTATGTATTCAGTTACCACACTACACGTCTGTACACTTACTATAGCTGAGTGCGAAACTTGGAAAGTCAAAAAGTGATTTTTTGGAAAACTAGCCATATCAGACTATGATTGTCTTGGGATACGTTGAAATATCTATGTAACGACTAAGTGATAGTGATAGGAGAGCTTGAAGCTACCCGCAGAAAACCACAGCCGAAGAACCAGAACTCGAGTTTATATGGAGTTTCGAAGTTGCATGTCAGAAGGAAATCATTTATCAGTCATATCATGATTTTTTGACTCAATAAAAACACAGCAAAGTAGCTTCCTCATCAAGAAAAATGTTAGGTAGCAGTGGCAATGTCTCGGTAAGACGATGATATTAACAAGTGCGCTTTGAAGAGCTGACGTGTTTGTCCTCCTTACCTGCTGAAGGATCCTCTAAAAGACATAAGCATTCAAAAATCGAGAACTTTCGTAATTATGTTTAACAAGATCAAAAACAGTTATTTGTTCTTCGATAGATACTAAGGCGTAGCCGGAGTTCTCGTCGCTGCTGTAATTACGCGCTCTCAAGCTGACCTTTAATACACTTTGCTCATTGAGTTCGATAAGCAGAGAGCAACTTAAGAAATAAAAGAATTAGATCTTGACGCAGACTAAGAAATAAACGAAGCAAATTTTAAGCTTTCTGATACGTTTTTAGTGAAGCATATCACCTCCCGTTCGCTGCTCCATCTCCAGCTCCATCCTTGTCAGCAAAAGATGCGTTCACAACTCTCTTTTACATTCACACATCAATGTGTTAAGCAACAGCCCTTCTGTGCCATTTTTCACTATCATCATAATCAGTATCTCCGCGGGATCAAAAAGAAATGTCTCATTTAATTGCTCAACCAGTAATACAGTTCATTTTCTTGTGGTTTTGGCTGAAGAAACTAAAAACCCCAAATATCCGGATTTTTTGGTGTTGAAACATGGCTCGTGTGTATGTTCGGCTAACCTTGAAATGACATACATAAGTGTTAGGCGCTGCTTCGTTACGTTACCATGCAGTCGTTGAAAACTTCCCTAAACTTTCAAAAATTTTACTATGGCGCGTAAAACTCGTACTTATAGTTGAGGAAATCATGTTAGAGCAATAGGCTCCACGTCATCAAAGGAGACTGTGATTCGATTAGACAATAGAATAAAATCACTTATAAGCTTTTCTTTACCGCATAATGCCTTTCTCAAGGGGTTCCCTTATTTGTAAAGTACTGGAAGATAGGACATTTTCACTTCTGACTTAACAATCCTCGGTTTACAAAAAAAGCGCCTTTTTTCACATCAGGTGGATTACTGAGGTAATAACAGGGATCCTCAATCCTTCCAAAAAGGAAATTACATTTTTGGGGTCTTATACTCATAAGACGCAAAGTATGCCACCAAATTGCAGAGAAGTGTATGAAACGCCCGCAAGTTTTTAAAACCTGCTTTCTTCCTTTAAACTTCCTCTGATTAGCTGGGGCGCTGCACAGTAAACTGCTTCGCACTATTTCAAGGAGAAATTTCTTTCACTGTTTCTTTATTATTATTCCTCTCTTTCATCTAACCTTCTTGAGAATAAGCACAGTGTTGCAAGAGGCGTCATGCCACATTAAGCACGCAAATGCTTGTCAACCGTTTCCAAGCCGTTATTGATCCAATATCAACATTGAGAAATAGCTCGTGAAATCTTGATGAAAATTCCTTCCAAAGCAGCTTCTGTACCGATGTGTTAGCGACTTTCTTGATGAAACAGCGAAATTGCTGCAAAATATCCAAAAGAAGTTAACTACTCAGACACTTTTTCCGACGGCCCGCGCGCCTTGAGCGTGCGAGCGCTCATGCCTCCCGCCGCCCGTGGAATGAAGGTACGCCGCTCGCCCGCTCCTTCGAAAGCGTTGTAGGACCCTACTGTGATACAGATAGCAATCCTTTGATAAACTTCATATTTTGTCATTGAAATACGACCTCATACCCTCAGATTTATTGCCAAACATGTTACAGGTATGATTATGGCAGATTTATTATCCAAAGACTTACAGAAAGACATAATACAGAGTTAAAAGCAGAACACAACAGGTAACAACTATTAGGTTGTCCCATAAGTCTTTTCATTTCTGAGTTTTCGCTATAATAAGTCACACACTTCTTATTCTAATTGGACATCAGGACACCATTCGATAGAGCAAAGCATGCTCTATAAGATGTAGGCTATGCTTTTGCACAAGCTTTGGTCCATCTCGAGTTTCAAACCAAAATCTAAAAAGTTACGGATGCCCAGAAAACCGAAAATTTTCCATATCTTTGTTCAAAAAAATCCTACAGACCTCTAACTCGCTCACGCATATACATTCCACATCAGACATTCATATGTGCTGTTGCTGTATTTTTTATCAGCTAGAAATTAAGAAACCGAAAATTTTCATGTTTTTACCAAAGTGATGCTGTGCTGTTCTTACACTAACAGTTGTTTACTAGAAGCCCTTAGAAGTACTACCGTAGATTTTTGGCTCTCTATATGCTCTGGTTCACAAGAAATATCAAGTTTAGCTATCCTCACTTGGGTTTTTCACGCTTAAATCGACATATCTCGGAAACCAGAGCATACAGAGAGCCAAAAATCTACGTTAGTACTTCTAATGGCTTCTAGTATACAAAGGTTATTGTAAGAACACCACGGTATCACTTTGCTAAAAACATGGAAATTTTCGGTTTCTTGATTTCTAGCTGATATAAAAATACCGCAACAGCACATATGAATGTCTGATGTGGAATGTATATGCGTGAGCGAGTTAGAGGTCTATAGGATTTTTTTGAACAAAGATATGAAAAATTTTCGGTTTTTTGGGCATCCGAAACTTTTTAGATTTTGGTTTGAAACTCGAGATGGACCAACGCTTGTGCAAAAGCATAGCCTCCATCTTATAAAGCTTGCTTTGCTCTATCGAATGGTATCCTGATGTCCAATTAGAATGAGAAGTGTGTGACTTATCATAGCGAAAACTCAGAAATGAAAAGACTTATGGGACAAACTAATATAATATCATCAATACCTTTTACGCTAAGCCCTTATTGAATACACGTAAAGCATAACAGCCATGCTGATACTGAGAAAGCACTGATAGACACCGGTAAGAATGACCTGATTAAGCAAAAAAACCGGAATCCTGTCAGAATCATGACACTGAGGCAGTGAACACGGAGCTCTTGATGAACGTCTGAAGCAAGGTACCATTATATTACGAAAGATGAAACACTAAAGATAAGACACTGAACAATACTTGTAAAGAAAACACAAAAAGAAAAACCTAGACAAATCAGTTTTTTTCTGGAGAAGACGTTGGAAAGGAAATTACGCAGATGTTGACAGGCGTTAGCTGATGATTGAGTTGCTGCTACGTAATCCTTTTTCGCTCAGTAACTTCCTTCTCTTCAGCTGGTGCGGCACATTGAAGTGTCAGATCATTATTTAAGTATGCACAAATTCTCACCTTATTGGCTATCCATTTTCCAGACTCGTAATTGTAGGACCTTATATTTCGTCTGAAATCAAATTCTCAATCACTGTGAAATTTGTAAAGAATCTTTGGACTTACAGAGCCATTTGGGGAGATTTGAATAGTTGAGGTCGCCAATCTTGGTGCTGTTGTCTGAGCTCAGCCAGCGCTTCCGTTCTTTCCTTTTCGGTATTTCCAAGGTTTCTGTAAAATCTGAAACGCAAATCTTTTGGTTTTTGCGGATCCTGTTTTAGTCACTCACAAAGACTGATTCAAATCCAGGTTATTCCACTGATCTAATTCCTCGTGCCCGAACCCCATCATATCTTCACCGAAGTCTGGAAACGTCCATTGAGAGTGATTATTTCTCCAAAAGTGTTCCTTTTATTGACCTCTAAGCATCCCTTCTATTTCTTCTGGTAGATTGAGCAACTCTTCATCCCGTCCAGCGTTTTGGTTTAGGCGAATAGAGCAGTTTTTGATTTCGTCGGCAGGCTCCGTCATCTAAGAACTCCTTATGTAAATGAGGTGTTTGCATACATCAAGACTCACCCTCTGTAATAAAAAACGGTACAATGAACTTAACTGTTGAAAGGTGTTGTGCCTCGGACTTCCTTGCCAATCTTTACAGACATTTGTGAGATCCAGCTAAAGCGTTCACTGGATTATTGTCGTTATACTGTAATCCAAAACATGAATGAGAAACTTTTTTGAAGGGCGGGTTCGCCTGAATTTGCCAAAACTTGACACAGTTGTCCACAGATATGCAGCCGTCACGTCCTGGTACGCACAAGTCACGTGGTAGCGTCGCTCTTTCGCTGCTTTCAATTCTTCGAACACTTTTGCTGTTACAGCTCTCGAAATCTCGGCCTAAATCAGGTTGAGCAAGTCAAAGCATATATGACATCCCAAAATGTGCAGCCGTACTGTGATGCGATTAGCAATATGCCATAGCGAGTGGATGTCCGATCCGCAATTCAAAATGCCGTAAGTGACTTTAGCGCGTAATACGATATCGGATCTGATAAACTCCTAGAAAGAATTTGTATGTTTTTATCAAAAACAATGTACTCGTACTTACGTAGTAGACCGCTTCGTTAAACTCTTGGCGATGCATCCTCGATAAAATTAAACCGGGCTGCCCTGTCAATGTGCAAGATTCCGTTCTCAACGCATTCATGGGGTGCCGCTTCGTCTTCGACAATATTTTTCACATAAGGATTCTCTCTACTAAAAACGAAACTACTAGAGCTAATAAAACCAGATAACAAACATTCCCAGTGAGACATGGTGGAAAAACAGGTCTAGGCTTCGCATACGTTTGTGTTCCTCCAGATTTACGCTTGAGACTGACCGCGGCCCGACACATCTTTCAAAATATTGTAATATCAGGCATAGCAAACAACTCTGGTGATGGCACCAAAAAACCACTCTGCACGAAAACGTCTTCCTGCATAGTTACGGTAGGGGCCGAAACCACAAATTGGCAAATGTATCTTTTCCCGTGCTTTGCTTAGGCAAAAGCCGCAGCAGGGTGTGTAGCGCACGGCGGTGGTCGTGTGTGCAAAGCTTCAGATCGTCCGAATCGCCGTACACCCGTTTCAAGCAGAACTACGTTTTACACCCGTTATCGTATAGCTATCGTAATCCGAGAAAATGACGCTACGGTTCAAAACCAATGTGATATTCAGCATCAGCGGGCCGAATAACCCCTCTGAGCCAAGTTTCGAGCAAATCTATGATGTTGGCCCCCTACCGTATACCAACCGTAACCGTGTATGGAGGCGTTTTCCTGCGGTGAAAAGGTGATATTCGTGATCAGCGCCTCAGATAACTCCTCTAGGCCAAGTTTGAGCGAAATCCATGACAAAAAATTTTGGGGCCCGGATAGCCGAATAGCGGACGCAATACGGACGCTAAGATGCTACGGAATAGGGAGCACATGGATGACAATGGCTGTACACATGTGAACCAGAAAAAACTTACAGAGAATGGAGACGATTAGCCGGCAAAACGGACAAGCAACCAACGATGCGATAAAAAATGCAACCTCCTACGGCTAACAACGAATTCAAAATGATGCTTACGCGTCTTGTTAAGTTACATGTTCGTTGTTCTTACATATTTGTTGATGGCGCGCCGCCCGTCGAAGGCAAGGCGCGCCACTCGCACGGCAGGTTTCGATGGCGCGCCGCCCGTCGGAAACGAGGCCACGCTCACAAATCTAGGCGCGCCGCTCGCACGGTAGGCTCATGAAAGCGCGCGGGCCGTCGGAAAAAGTGTCTGAGTAGTAGTAACAGTACTTACTTACTTAGATACTTAGATGGCCCGGCTTCACGTGACGTGCGGGCCCCAGCTCAGAAGTTTCCATTTTTCCCTGTCCCTCGCTTCTGACATCCACGATCTTCTTGGCTGACGTCGGTGGCTGCGTCCACGAGTTCCAGGTGCAAAAATCGTATCCAGCTGATTTCTCAGCTGGTCCATCCGTTCCACGAACACGTCTGCCCATCTCGTTGGAGGTCTTCCTCGGGGACGTTTGGCTTCGCGAGGAATCCACTCCGATGTTCTTAGTGTCCATCTGTCGTCTGTTCTTCTCATTATGTGACCGGCCCATCGGTGTTTGGCTTTCGCGACGTATTCCGCTGGGTCACGAAGACGGGACATTCTTCTCATATCCGTGCTGCGAAGTCCGACTAGATGTTGCTTGCGTCGGGTCATCTTCAGAAGACTGCGCTCGAGCGCTCTGTGGGTGGTCCGTAAAGCTTTCGACGTGGCTACAGTGTCGGCCCAAGTCTCAGCTGCGTAACAGAGCGCCGGGAGAACGGTTGAGTCGAACAGGTGGGCACGAAGCTCCGGGTCCGTCAGTTGGTCGGTGGCTTCCTTCAGGGGCCCGAAGGCGGCCCAGGCTGCTCTTCTTCTCCTGTTAAGTTCTTCCCTCAAGTCGTTCTCCATGTTCATCGAACGTCCGAGATACACGTAGGAAGACGTCTCCATAATCGGGGTGCCTTCCAATTCCATTTCTGCATCTTCGCAAAGGGCGTTCTTCATGAACTGAGTCTTCTTCCGATTTATTCGCAGTCCGATCTTCTTCCCTACTTCGTTTAGTTCCTTCAGCATCGTCTCTGCTTCGGTGATACTGCTCGAGAAGAGAACGATGTCGTCCGCAAAACGAAGGTTGGACAGGAATCTCCCATCAACTCGTATGCCTCTCTCGTCCCAGTCCAGTGACTTCATCACCCACTGCAAGGCCGCGGTGAACAGCTTCGGCGAGATTGTGTCGCCTTGTCGGACCCCCTTCCCGATTGGTATGGTCAGGGGGCGATGGAATAGCTGCATCGTCGTTGTACAGTCCTTGTAGCAGTCGGCTAACGTCCTCACGTAAGCTGGGTCCACTCCTTGATCGACTAGCGCAGACAGGATGGCGTTGGTTTCGACGCTGTCGAAGGCTTTCTCGTAGTCGACAAAGGTTAGGACGAGAGGCAGTCGGTACTCCCGGCAGACTTCTATGACCCTCGAAACGGTCTGGATGTGGTCCATGCAGCTGAATCCTTTGCGAAATCCAGCTTGTTCTTGGGGTTGGGCTTCATCCAGTGTCCTTGATATGCGAGCGAGGATAATCTTCGTGAAAAGCTTGTACAGCACACTCAGCAAGCATATTGGACGATAGTTCCGAAGATCCTCCCGTTCACCCTTCTTGAAGAGAAGGACAGTTCTTGACGTTCTCCACTGGTCGGGAATCTTCTCCTTCTGAAGGTAAGATGTCAAATGCGACGCTAGAATCTCGTGTAGACGGTGTCCTCCGGCTCGCAGAAGTTCGACGGAAAGATGATCTGGTCCTGGAGCCGTGGACGTCTTCATGGTCTGTATCGCGATACGCACTTCAGCAGGTAGAATTCGTGGTGGTACTTCTCCAGTGGGAACAACGGGCATCTGCACGGGTGTTGATGAGCGGAAGAGGTTGGTGTAGAAGTTCTTCGCGATAGATTCCATCTTGTATCGGGAAGAAGTCGGAGTCCCGTCTTCGTTCAGTAGTGCAGCCAGCGGTACGTGATATTCGTAGAGGTCCCTTCGGCACTTCTTGAGACTTCGTCTTCTTTCTGCTGCTTCCAGTATCTTGGCTTGCCTGTACTTCCTGAGATCCTCTTGCAAAGCTGTTCTGCAACTGGTGTTGGCAATCACTCGCTCGAGATGAGTTGCATTCGGATCCTGCCTCAATGATCTTCTTCCTTCGAGCAATTCCTTGGTGGTCTTCGAAATGCGGTCCAAGTTTTTCTCAGAAGTCACTGAGGCGCATTCTCCGCAGGCTCGCAATCCTTTCAGAAGCCGGTCGTAGTCGTACGTTGGGTCCTCCTCGATGGGCCAGTCACAACTTGATATGAGCTCTTCCAGCCTGTTACCGTCATAAACGACTTCCTTCCTTCTCGCGGCACTATGACAGACTTTCTTTTCCAGCCTTCGGCTGAGTCGTATCTTCGCTCGAAGGAGGCGGTGATCGGAGCCACTACAGAAGGATGGAACTACAGAGACATCGAGTAAGCTCCACCTTCGGTTGGTGAGAATGTGGTCGATCTCCGCGTGGGTCGTTCCGTTGGGCGATTCCCATGTCCACCGGCGATGTTCCTTCTTCATAAAGATGGAATTTCCATGGAAAAGTCGTGCGGCGGAGAGAAGCCCAACAAGACGGTTGCCGTTTTCGTTCCGGAGCCCATATCCAAACTTCCCGATCCTATATTCCCTTTCCAGTGGCATCCCGATTTTCGCGTTGAAGTCGCCCACAACAAACTTGTAAAAGGACTTCTCGTTACGGACGACCTCCTCCACATCTTCGTATCCCCCACAATGGTCGGTCGCCTCATCGTGGCGTGGGGGTGACACTGGGTGTCGAACTGCGATGCACAGCCGAGTGTATACTCTGGTAGGGCCTCCCAAGCTGTGAAGGAGTTCGACGTTTCCGGTTTCGGCCGGATGCCTAGCTAAGAACTGGCCGCGCCAGATTCTCCGCCGTCTGGCTTCTTCTGGTCGCTAGGCGGTCCCTCCCCGCTCCAAGCCCGGGGTCAGCGATCACCCCGTGGAAATCAAGAGTAGGCCTAGTAAGCCACCTCTTGTAGGGGAACAAATTTTATTACTCAGACGGCAAGAAGATTTAGAAAAAACCCTGTACATCGGATCCCGCCTACGGCGCCGAGTGGTAGCAAGAACGATGTCAGGGTACTCAGGGCGCCTTTCGGATTGGACAAGAACGACACGTCTGCCCGGACGACACGCCATGGAGACTGCCTCATGCTCTGCACTTACAACGCCAGGACAGTCTCCACAAACGCCGACCTCCACGCTCTTCTCGACGCTGCAGAGCACATCAACTACCACATCATTGCTCTGCAGGAAACGAAGTCCAGGAAGAAGGACGTGCGACAGATGAGTGGGACCCTCATCATTCGTGGTGAAAAGGTTCCATCACGAAACGTGGGAGGCGTCGGCTTTGTCGTCCACCCATCTATCGTCCA